TAAAAATGTATAATATAGGCCTATATTTATACACACACACACGCACGCACATATATATGTATAATGATTTTTTTATTTCCTACTTACAAATATGTTTCAAGGCAGTTAAGAATTCCTTCTCTGTCAATCCGAAAATATTTTCAGGTTCGTCTAAATATTGTAATAGCGAACCTCCGCGACATAACTCCATGATAATGACTGGCTGTTTAGACACGTGGTCTTCTTCAATGGCCAGTACCTCCACGATGTTCTTATGCTTCAACTTTCTTACAACTTCTAGCTCACGTGTTCGTACATCACGTGGACGGGAATAAGACATATCATTGAACACCTTGATTGCAACTTGTTCACCAGTTTTCTAGATACGATAGAGGGAAAAATAGCGCCCTCAATAAGTAGGCCTAATGGGAAATGCCCTTATGACTAACGGATTGCATCAGCCTACATGTTCTCAATAGTATTGCGAAATACATAACGGATACGACCATGTATTGTATTGTTCATTCTAAAGCAAATAATTTTTTTTTTACATGGGTTGGAAGACAAACCTCACCATCAAGCTCAAGCCCCACTATTTGTCAACGTGTTTCGTCCCTTACCTTATAACGCCCAACAAAGACTGTCGATGTTGCCCCAGTACCAACTGCATGACCAGTACACCATATAAACAAATCGGTGCCTCTTAGTTCTTTGGATAAACTCATTCTGAAAGGTAGAGTTTATGTTAGACATGTAGGCCTACAGCTTTAAAACGTTTATGAATTGGTATTGCCTAAATTACTACGGCTACCCAGGACCAATGACCAAGCTATATGGCAAATGTGGCTTTGTGTAAAATAATTATAGGCCTTTGTAATAATTATTCAAACATTAATCATAAATACGTTTAAGCATACTTTAATAGACACATTGAATTATTGTTTGAATGTAAATTATCAGTACTTACCTTAACAGCAGTCTTAAATCCGATGCTCTAACGAACCGAGTTAGTAGTCCACTGAATGGTTAACGTTATATTCACCCACATTTTCTGATAATGATATCCTGTTTTTAGAAAATAAGAGGTGACGA